AAAAATAAAGACTACCTCCCAGAATACGTCAATGCCTCCAGCAAATATTTAACAAAGGAATGGAACAAATGAGACTATCTTTTTGGTTCTTATATTAAGTTATCTATAACATTATGACTATAAAAGCACTGTTTACCTTTAAAAAACAGAAAAGCTCCTATACAGGCTTACCTATTTTGAACTCAGTTCTCTAACTATTGCTGATCCTGACCAATAGAATAACCAATGTAGGTAAAACAGAGAATGAGTAGAAGACTCAATTCAACTTCTGAGGAAGACAAAATCAAGTAAGAATTACTGATAATAAAGGCTTACTGTAATGACAATTTGAGGAAGAAATATAGGAAGCATAGCAACATACTACATTTCCTAAAACAAGGGGATTGTGATACAAAATCTTCATTAAGTATACAGCTAAATTAATAATATCAAGGTGTCTAAGAAAACAATGCATTTTCAATTCTAAAGGAGAAGACAACTTTATTACTGGGGGAAAGGAAAAAAGAAGAAAGCTAAGCAACTGCCTCATTCTTCAACAGGTAAGCATGAGGTCTTAAGAAAATGTTAAAAACAAAAACACAAAAAATAACGATGCAGCCTGCTCCTTTCCTCTCCTCCCCACCATTCACAGAACACAGGTTAACAATTGTTACAACAGCTTCCTATTCATCCTTATCAGGAAACCAAAGGACAGAGAATTGAGAAAAGTCAAATTTCTCTGGCCTGTTAGCCAAATATAATTTTTCTGGCCTATTATCCAAACGAGATTAAATCAAGTTTGCTCTTAGGTTTACTACATTCAAAGATCTGAGCATCCAGTACCAACATTCCTTTCTTATCTGTTTACTGATAAATGATTCCTTTAACAGCCAGCCTGTGGAAGTGACTGATATCAGACAGTTTTCTAAATAAAAGGAGTGGAAGCCTGAAGCAGTGAAGGAGAGAGAAAGAGAACACAAAGAGACAACCAGAAATGCTAAAGACAAACAGCTCTTTTATGCTTAACAGCTATGTTCTTTCCACCTTCAAAAATACCTAGACAAAGTATGAATAGCAAAACCACAACTACACAAGCACACAGTATGCTAACGGGACTACCCCCTTTTAGGAGTATGAGGTAATCCAACCTGGTTTCACATGGCTCATAAAGATGTGTTTTAATACACTGGACCACAAGATAAAGAAGATCCCATCCCAGAATACTGCTTAGTCAATGATTATAATTACACAACTTAACTAAGACTGGTGATAAGAGATCTTGAAAACAATGTAATTTTAACTGTAACTTCTTGTAACTGCAAGAAGCTCCTTCTACAGAAACGCAGCAGAAGAATAGTTAATAAATATCACAGTCTGGTAGAACACATTTTAAAAAATAAATGTATTTATTATATCATATAGTCATATTATCCCATATTATACCATATGGTCATGGAAAGAAACATTGGGGAAATATAAATGGTCAGAAGTAAAGGTTTAATGCCCAAAGTGTAAGCACATTCATTTCATAAATATCTAATAAGCTCCTATCATTTACCAGAATATTCTATTTTGACATCTACAAAGTAATACAATACAGGACATGAAATCTGTTCACTTCCCAAAATAATTTAAAAACTAAAATCTACATTCTATGTTCAAAATGTTTGATAACAAGCAGTTTAAAAAATTCTAATATCCAAGAAAAATGATTAGTTTTAAAAAATCACAGTATTACCTAATGAAATGTAAAGTATTTTGCTATATTAAGTTTAAAAATATTATAAAACCACATATACTGTATTGTACAAACATTTAAAAAGTTTTGGATACATACCAAAATGTTTAAACTAATTATATCCTAGTGGCAAGATTACATTTTTCTTTTTTTTTTTTTTTTGTACTTATAGCTTTCTTATTTTTCAACAATGAATGTGCTTTCCCTCTATAGACAGAGATTTTAATGCAGCTGAAATTTCCTTCTGAGAAACTTTAAAAACAAAACCAAAAAACTATTTTACTGTCAGGCAAGGGAATTCTTTAGTATAAAATGTGTCATTTTACACAAGCATAACTTCATTTGCTTCCATGCACTTGGCAATTATATATCTTCAAGTACACATAAGGAAGATAGTTAAATTAAAAGACCACAGTACATATCAGTTTGTACTGGATTACAATACAACTTCAAATTTTAAATGATTTCTTGGAGGAATTTCTTCTGCCATCCATAACACTGATGTCTATATTCAAAAAAGATCCACTTTTAATCATTTATTCCCCTCCTCCCCGATGCGAATACCTTTATTATCAGCTCCTATAAGAAATTATAGTGGGAAAACTATTCATCACTAAACATTAAAACCTTAGAGGAGGAGGCAGTACAAAACACTTCTAATTGAATTTAGTTAGGAGTATCCTTTGTAGTTTCAGGAGATACCAATATGCTTTCCAATGACTGGCAAATTTAAACTTAAATTCATTAGTGTAGTGGTTCTCAAGCATTGATACATGAACTGCCCAGGAAGTGTGCCAAAATACTGAAACTTACGGTGCTCTCACCTACTGAATCAGAATCTTGAGTATAGAACTCAAAAACAATCTGGCCCTTTCAAATAAGATAGCAGCGACTGTACTTAACAAAAGACTTCTCTACATCATTGCAAACTGTTCTACTAAATCTTAAAGTTCTCAATGTAAACAATGTTATAATCAGAGAATTACAATTTCATGACCCATACCCATTAATTTCTCCATTCTTCTACTCTGTAATAGTCTTCAAAGTTACAATTCAACAAAACCACACATACACTACAGAGTAAAGCAAGCCCAGAGGCACCTGTGCCTGGTAAGACAAAGGCATATCCGATTCATGGAAAAAATAGACAGCAGATGTGACCCCTAGTATTTAGCTATTAAAAACAATGTATCCTAAAAATAAATTTCCATGTCAACGGAACAAAGCTGTTTATAAATAAGAAGGAATGTGGAGGTGTGGGGAAGACAAGAGGAAGCTTCAGCAAGTCAAGAACCAAAAGCCAGGAAACAAGGCCAAATGAATGGTAATGGGCGACTAGGAAATCAGGATAAACTAGGAAATGGAAGAAGGGAAGAGCTCTATCCTTAGAGTCCCAGAAGTTGAGGAAAATGAACAGATGTTAGAGGAAACTGATCCAAGCAAAAATGCAAACTAAAAATTAAGTGGAAAGTCGTGCAATTACGGAAGGAAAAAATGAAACAAGATGGGATCAGGAGGGAGACAAACCATAAGAGACTCTTAATCCCAGGAAACAAACTGAGGGTTCCTGGGGGGGGGGGGGGGGGGGGGTGGTAGGGATAGGGTGGTTGGATTATGGACATTGGGGAGGGTATATACTATGGTGAGTGCTGTGAAATGTGTAAGCCTGATGATTCACAGACCTGTACCCCTGGGGCAAATAATACATTATATGTTAATTTTTTAAAAAGAAAGAAGATATGAAAACTTTAGATCAAATGATGATATAGAACACATGATGTGCATAGATGGAGGTGGTATAAGAGGCTGAAAAATTATTATTGTGAACAAATTAGAGCAAGCATATAGGATAATTTCCAAAGTAAAGATGATGAAGCAGGAAAAGCAGCATTGCACAGACAAGAATGAGGCGTTGAGAATTGGGAAACCAAATGTAAGCAGTAGGAAGGAAAGAGAACTTTGAGCAAAGTCAACGGAATAACTCACGTTATCTAATCAATTACAAAGCACAGTTATTATACTAAATATTATCTCGTAATTTGCAAAGTATAATAAAGCTGTTATTTTATACAGTACAACGCCAAATACTAAATGGAATACATTTTCCCGAAAAACCAACGTAAGTAATTTGACAAAGTGGTAAGAGGCTGAATATTGCAAAAAACAGGCTGAGAGAAGGAGAAGCCAAAGCGGGAAAAGTGAAAGGTAAAAACTGGGACAAAAAGGAGGACAACAGAAAGAAATCAATCAAATCTATTTAAAAAAGGGTAGGAAAAAATAAAGAGATGTGAATACACAATGTAAGACTAACCAGAAAGTGCCTGTAATGCAAATGAAACCTGACGGAATCCCTGACAGCTTCAGGATTCAGAAAGTAAGGAAGGAGCTCCAAATCGTCCAGACGGACTTGTAAAGATAATAGATAACAATGTTAGGAAGCAGTAGAATGATCCAGAGGGCCTGAAGAGAACTAGGGTAAGAGAATTGCAAAAATGGTTTTAAGTAGAAACTAAGGCTAGAAACTGGCAGGTCCGACAACCGGCAAGAGAGCGGAGCAGCAGATGGGAATGGGTTGGGGGGAGGGTTACCACTCAGCGACAGAGCACAGAACTGGGGGCCTGACACCGGGATAAAAAAGGAGAACGGAAACAGTGGGATTTAAGGCTGAAAAAGTAAAGATTAAATCAAAACCATCAGCTGGGTAAAACAGGTGAAGAGACATCCCCTTAACAAGTGGAAAAGTGGAGGGGAGGGCAGTGGCCTGAAAAGGGGGACATCAGGGAGAGAGGAGGGGTATGATGCGCCCCATCACTCCCGTGACCATGTAATAATTACAACAGCAACTCAAGCTGGGGTCCCGGCCCCGGCTACTAACCTATATCTTTGCACCTGGATGCCGCCACCCTTTCCTACCCCCCACCCCTAAAATAATGAAAACATCGAAGAGACGAGAGCCTGGCTACCTTCAGCCAGCCGTGACCTTCTCGGACCAACCCTGAGTCTCGCCCCCTACTGATAGCCTCCTGCTCAACCAATGTTGCCCGAATCCCCCAAGCTGGGGTGCGAGTCAGGGAAACCCCCCTGGGCCACTGTGTATGTTTACGTAGCGAGGAGCTGCATGACGGAGAGGGACAAGGCGGGGATGCCCATCTCCCACCCCGCAGAACCCAAAGAAGGAGGTGGCTGAGGGCACCAGAGCCCCCACCGCCACCTCGTTCCCCCCAAAAAACACCAGCCAGCCGAGCCCAGAGCTTGGAGGTGTGTAGGGTGCGCCGGCACTCACCTCCTCGGGAATGGCAGGGTCCGCAGCCGAAGAGGCCGCGGCGCCGGCGCCGGCCTCGGGCTCCATATCTCCGTTGAACAGAGCCTGGCCCTGCTCCGCGCCGCCGCCGCCGCCGCCGCTCAGCGCCGCCATCTTATAACCGAGAGCAGGGGCCGGAGCGACCGCTGCTGGGCGGGGAGGGGGAAGGGAGGCGGAGGGCGGGGGGGCGGGGGGAGGCGGAGGCGGAGGGCGGGGGGCGGTGGGGAGGGACGGCCGGGGCGGCGCCCGCGGCGGGAGGGCTCCTGGGCCACCTCAGGAACCGGCCCGCGGCCCCCGGCGCAGCCGAGCCTGAGGGGATTGGGGGAAGGACGCTAGGCGGGGGGCGGGGGAAGGGGGCGGAGACGACTAGAAGTCGCCGCGGCAACGGCGTCACCCCCGTGTCACGGCCGTGACGTCACCCGGGGTGCGTGACGTAATCGTAGGAGCGCCCTCGCGCCGTCGTCAGGGGAGGGTTCCTTCCCCTCCTGCCCACCGTCGCGCGCGCACGTTTCCTCGGCTCCGCGGTTTCCATGGCTCCGATTTCCTACTTCATTCTCTTCTCGGTCTCTGTTCTGTAATGTGGGATTTACTAGAAGAGCATGGGTGGTGTTGGAGGAGAAGTTAAAATCCTAGAGGGAGGAAGACGGGAAAGCCCATGCTACTTGTGTTTTTTCCATTACAGCGAATGTGTCATAAAAATAAGATTTGAAACCCCAAGGTGGAAACATTCAAGGAGAATTTGATAGAAATGTATTTAAGAGCAGCTAAATCATCAGAATGATTTTTGTATCCGTTTCATTAAAGGATCTGGCCTGTTAAAGAGGGTCTAAATGGAAGTCTGAAAGCTTATCCCCATCGTTGAGAAATAAAACGTTTTCTTTAAGTGTGTTTTTCATCTTCCGGTCATTCTGGAAATGGAAAACTTTCCATATGCTAGTGCCTGCACAAGGCACGGCATTCTAGACATCTGAAGCATCAAAACTTTAATAATTTTTATTTTCAAGATAATTATTCAAAACATTTTTAAATACTAGGTGCCTTGCATGAACAGAATATTCCAAGGTGTTAGCTGTGCAACATATGCATGAAAACAAGAGGGGAGTTCAATTCCCTTTGTCAGGCCCAATTACAGAACGAAATTAAGGAAACCCAATTCATTATTAAAAATACTTTTATCTTAAAGGAAAAGGGAATATTCAGGGAAAAAAGGAATGGAGAAGAGAGGAAAGGAATATAATGGAAGTTACTGTGGGCTCCTGATGGTGTACAGTTTTAATCACCAAAGTAACGGTAGACATCAAGTCGTGAGAAGCTTTGAGTGAACTACATTTTTTACTTCCCATGTGGAGGGAAGTCACCAGTGACCTTACAGTATTCACCATGATTAAAGAGATCGAAAGCTGTCCTACTGACTCCTGAAGCTGAATGTCTGCATATTGATAGAGTCACTGTGAATCCAGGTACTCTAGAGGTAAGGCATTGTGTATGAGGCTGCTTGATTAATCAGAATATTAATATTTCTCTACAATGAAAATTGGAAAGTAGAGACTATCAAGCGGGCATGATAGATTTGTTAGCATTGTTGTACTTTTTCTTCCAAGTAGAAAAGTCTCCTTGAAGAACTAAATATAAATCAAAAAGAGGTTTGTCCGTAAGAGACTTTTTTTTTTTTTAAGATTTTATTTATTTATTTGACAGAGAGAGATCACAAGTAGGCAGAGAGGCAGGCAGAGAGAGAGAGGGTGAAGCAGGCTCCCTGCCGAGCAGAGAGCCCGATGCGGGACTCGATCCCAGGACCCTGAGATCATGACCTGAGCCAAAGGCAGCGGCTTAACCCACTGAGCCACCCAGGCGCCCAGGAGACTCTTAATCTCACAAAACAAACTGAGGGTTGCTGGGGGAGGGGGTAGGGAGAGGGGGGTTGGGTTATGGACTTTGGGGAAGGTATGTGCTATGGTGAGTGCTGTGAAGTGTGTAAACCTGGCGATTCACAGAACCGTACCCCTGGGGCTAATAATACATTATATGTTAATAAAAAAATTTTTTTAAAGAGGTATGGCAAAAGTAGAGTAAATGAAAATTATCGTAAGGGTTAATGTCATCAAGCTATACTAGTCTGAAGCACTCTTCTTTACTGTAAGGACATACTTCTAAAGTGACCAAAATAGCACCATTAGCCAGTCATGGCACCTTTTACCCTTGATTTTATCAAAAACAACTTGCAGCACTTTCATTTCAACAGTCCTATTTCATTTTTTTTTAAATCAGACACTAAAAAATTATGTCATTATGACACTGCCTCATAACATTCAAAGTTCTAAGATTTGTTTTCATTGGTTCCATTTTAAATTATAACCTTATCAGCAACAATCTGTAGCTCATATCCTACATAGGTATTTCTCCATAGGATGACTGATCTCATCCATTTAATAGTGATTCTTCTTAGCTACTATTCACTCAATATTTTCTGATCTTGTCTTTAAATTCTGGATATATCTTATTTGATTTCCCTAGGCTATTCTAAAGCCCCTACAGGATCTGGATGGGAAAATATGGAAAAGGCATAAACTTTGGAATACAAAGATCAGTATCAACATGCCACATCTTGGCTGTATAATCTGAAAGAAGGTAAGTTCGAATCTCTGTTTGTTGTTGTTGTCTTAATCTATAAAAAGAAGGTGGTAATAATGCCAGCCCAACCTGCCTAACTGTATCATTGCAAAGATCAAACATAGATTTTCCTTTAACAAAACATGAATACCTTCTAAGTCAGAATTCAGACAAGGCATAGCAGAAATGGCTTGTCTCTGCTCCATGATGTCTAGGATTCTCAGCTGGGAAGGCTCAGTGCTTGGAGGTGTCTCAATGGATAGAGACTGGAATAATCTGGAGGCATATTTCCTCATATGCCCGGTGATTGAAGCTGGTACCTCAGCTGGGGCAGTCAGCCACAATATCCAAGCATTCTTTCCTCATGTGGCTTGAGCTTCCTTATAGCATGATTGCTTCAAAATAGACTTCTTACAAGTCAGGTAAGGGCTCCAAACACTAGTGTTCCTCTAAGCAAGGTGAAAGCTGTATTGCATTTTATGACCTAGCCTCCAGAATCACACAGTATCACTTCTGTTGCATTTTATTTATTTATTTATTATTTTATTTATTTATTTTATTTATTTTTATCTTATTTTGTTTATTTTGGATATAGTAAGTCATTAAGTCTAGGCCAAATTCAAGGCAAAGGCGTATAGATCCTATATGGAAGAAGTGTCAAAGAATTTACAGTTGTGTTTAATTTACAGACACGTTGTGTTTAGAATAAAGAACTAGCTATTCTAGAAATAGTTACTTATCCTCACCTTCTCCAGAGGGTATTCTATACTCAAATTCTCCTCCTTTTTATTATTGGGAATCAATAAGACCCATCTCAGTATAATAATGAAGAAGCCTTTACCTTCTTTCGTTAGCTTCTTACCACTGCATGCAAAAATAAATGCAGGTCCTTGACCATAGAATACAGCCAGTCTTCTCTTGGGTACTTCATGCCCCTGCAAATACCAGTGCTTCCATAGGCAGGATGCTGTGCTGAAACTCTCTACCCAAAAGTATGGTACTGTGTTCTTAGAGCGTGTAATGGGCTAAGCCAGTTTGTGATCTGCACAGAAACAGAAAAAATACCTCCTCCTTGTGCTATGGTGTATCATATGGGCATCAAATCAGTATTATCTTGCATTCTAAAGTTTTATAGTTTATTTTTTAATACATCTATTTTTTAAAAGATTTTACTTATTTATTGTCAGAGAAAGAGCACAAGCAGGGGGAGCAGCAGGCAGAAGGAGAAGTGGGTGCCCTGCTGAGCAAGGAGCCTGATGCAGTATTCCCAGGACCCTGGGATCACGACCTGAGCCAAAAAAGCAGATGCTTAACTGACTGAGCCACCCAGATATCCCATATGGACAGTTTAATCAGTGCAGTTCTTTTAGGTTTTGTTCGCAGTCCCCTTATGCCCTTAGGCATTCCTGTATTCACAGGAAGATAAAATACACATCTACGTGAGGGGCTTTCCTCAGATCTTTGCTCCAATTAATGTCTGGGATACCCAAGAAGTCTTGCTCATATGTCTGACCCTCTTCCAGTTTATTTCTGACTTGTGTTTCTATCTTGAATCTTGCGTTCTAATAGGTACTGGATAGTCCCACTCTGGACCTGCCCAGTCAGGTCTGATCCACATTAATGTGGTCAACTCCTAGAAAACAAGTAAGCAGCTTCTAGGAAGCTTCTACAGCTCCAAACACATTCAGTGATATATAGATGATTACAATTTAATGTTTTCTTTATGAATCAAGGTCATCATGGTGAATTACACATCTTGTATTAATAGAAGGCTATTCTCAGAAGCTATTTAGGTATGAATAGAAAATAGAGTCATAGAGTTGATGCAGGGCAGCCTTCCTGCAGAGAGATACTTGGAATCTTCTCAGTGGAATTTCAAACTCTATCCAAATGTGATGGGGACCTCACTAAAATAGTACATTAAATGGTAACTTTTTTTTCTTGACATTGAATTGAAACCCTCCTCTTTATGATATTATATTCTGGTCTGTTTTGCCTTTAGAGGAACACAGGACAAGTCTATTTCTTATTCTGTGTAACTGCTTTCAAATATTTGAAGGGAGTTCTGTTTCCTTTAGTTCTTCCTCAAAGCATTTTCTCATCTTCCTGTGTACTATTCAATTTTCCTCTTAAAACGCGGTCCCAGAGCACCTCTGTGGCTCAGTCAGTTAAGCGTCCACCTTCAGCTCAGGTCATTATCTCAGAGTACAGGGACCAAGCCCTGCATCTGGATCCCAGCTCAGCAGAGGCTCTGTCCCTCATCCCTCTGCTGTTCCCCCTGCTTGTGCTCTCTCGCTCTCTGTCAGAAAAATAAATAAAATCTTTAAAAAAACAAACAAAAAAACATGGTTCTTTGCATTGAACACCATTTCAGATTTGCTCCAACTGACAAAGAATAGAATCTATGATTGCAATAACCTAGGACCCATGCTTTTGTTAGTAAAATAAAAAATCATACCAATACCATACCAGTTGGTACCAATAGGTACCAATAATGGTACCTATGAAGTTGGAGTTAACAAAAAAAACTTTGTGGTTTTTTTTTTTAATAAAATGCTATTGCATCAAGTCTAGGTTTTCTCTCATCCCCTGTTGTCATGTCATGAATTAGGCACTGTTGTCATCCCCTCTACTGAACTCACATTCCTCAGGATTTTTTAATTCTTGAGGGAAGACTTTGCTTTTAGATTCATGAATGGTATTAGATATTATATTTCTTTTTTGAATTTTTAAAATAACAGCTTTATTGAGATATAATTCACATATAGTATGGATTTAAAGTAGACAACTCATAGGGTGCCTGGGTGGCTTAGTCATTTAAGTGCCTGACTCTTGATCTCAGCTCCGGTCTTGATCTCAGGGTCTCAGTCTCAGGGTATGACTTCAAGCCCTGTGTTGGACTCCACACTGGGGGTGGAGCCTATTTAAAAAATAAATAAAGTAGACAATTCACTGTTTTTTTCATTTTTTAAAATTTAAATTCAATTAGTTAACATATAGTATATTATTAGTTTCAGAGGTAGAGTTCAGTGACTCATCAGTCTTATGTAACGCCCAGTGCTCATTACATCACGTGTCCTCCTTAATGCCCATCTCCCCATTACCCCTCCCCCCATTCCCTCTCCTCCAGCAACCCCCAGTTTGTTCCCTGTGATTAAGAGGTTTTGTCTTGTTTTATTTTTTTCCTCCCTTCCGCTATGCTCCTCTGTTTCATTTCTTAAATTCCCCGAATGAGTGAAAGCATATGATAGACAATTCACTGATTTTTAGTATATCCATAGAGTCAGGCAACCATCATCAAAATTAATTTTAGAACATCTTCATCACTCCAAAAAGTACCCTAGATATTATATTTTTAAAAGATTTTATTTCTTGGGTGCCTGGGTGGCTCAGTTGGTTAGGCGACAGCCTTCAGCTCAGGTCATGATCCCAGAGTCCTGGGATCGAGTCCCACATCGGGCTCCCTGCTCCTTGGAGAGTCTGCTTCTCCCTCTGACTTTCTCCCCTCTCATGATCTCTCTCACTGTCCCTCTCTCAAATAAAGAAATAAAATCTTTAAAAAAAAGATTTTATTTCTTTATTTGACAGAGAGATCACAAGTGGGCAAGGAGGCAGGCAGAGAGAGAGGGAGAAGCAGGCTCCCTGCTGAGCGGAGAGCCTGATGTGGGGCTCGATCCCAGGACCCTGGATCATGATCTGAGCTGAAGGCAGAGGTTTAACCCACTGAGCCACCCAGGCACCACCCCTTGATATTATATTTTTAACATTTACCAAAGGATATTTGTATCAGTATGTTATTTCATGTTATAACATCTTGCTTATACTACCCTTCGTGTGTTAATAAGATAGGGTTCTTTGAGATATTCTTTGTGAGTTTGGTAATTTGGATAATTAAAATTTAAGTTTGCTTTTATTGCATGGTACAGTAGACTATATACAGTATGCTACCTTTTGGCAAGAAGCAAGGGGAAGCTGTATATATAATGAAAAGGGCACCTGATAAGGGATGAATAAGAATGGTGTAGAGGAGAATGAGACTTCTCTGAGTATATCTTTTAAGATAGTTTGACTTTATGGGACATGTGAGTAAGTGAATAAAAGTAAAATCTAACCAAGTGAACCTAATGGTATATCAAATTCATAACGCAACCACACAGAAAAAGTGATTAATTCAAGTGGCTTTTGAATGTCATTTTCTGACTATAGAGTATAATGAACTTATGCCGTGTTAAATTAGCTAAACTGGCACCATTTGCCAGAAAGAATCCTCTTCCATCATGTGTGACCTGCTCACTCACTCCAAAATATATCCCCTGAGATGGTCCAGAGCAAACTCTCTTCACCAGCGCTGTAAGATAATGCATTTGTGAGGGGAACTCTTAGAGCTCTCTGCTGGCTCTCGTCGGTAAGCCAGAAATAACAATATTTGCTACCATTTCTATGGGATGCATGTTTAACTCTATGATGATAGGCTTCTCCTGCAGGACCCCCATCACTGACACTGTAATGACAGCCCAAGGTAGTAACAGTCTGACTTGTTCTGCAGTCCCTCCTCATAGCTTCTAGCTCAACCTCACAGATTTCATTTTTGCCTTGTTTCTCCCACTTTACCTTTGTCTTTCTCTTCCTGTCTGGCTGAAGATTTTCTGGATCCAGCAGCGGACCCACAAACACCAGCCTCACCTAGACTGTTTAACCAGCTCCATGGTTGCCTGAGACCAAAGCTCTGTAATACATTCCTTTGTTAAATATTTTTTTAAATTTGTTTACTTATTTATCTGAGAGAGAGAGAAAGAGAGAGCACAAGCGGGGGGAGGGGCAGAGGGAAGGGAGAAGCAGACTCCCCGCCGAGCAGGGAGCCTGCTGTGGGACCCTGTCTCAGGACACTGGGCTCATGACCTGAGCTGAAGGTAGACGCCCAACCAAATGAGCCACCCAGACGCCCCTCTGTAACACATTCCTATTATTTATGTATCTTAACACTTTGCTTCTGATTAAATACTGACTGGAATATATTC